TATCAAACTTTCCATTATTAGCTTAATAGAACATCTTCACACTTCTTCAATATAAATTACAGTGTACACAGAAATAAGCTGAAGATGAATAAGAACATGTGCACATTTGTATAATATATCGCTAGGGTAAAGCTTCAGGTAAACATTATTTCAGAAGTTTTTATTAAAGAAACCAGTAATGGCTTCTGATTCAGACAACAAAAAGCAACAACAGCAGAAACACTAGATTAGGTTCATGAAAGCAACAACGCTCTCCAATATTAGTGGAATAGAAAATCATATTATTGTGAGTAGTAAACTTTGTATCCTTTCAACTTTAAATTTTCGTTTCTTAGCAGCTTCGTGTTTCGGGTCTATTTGTTTCTATAACTAATCATCAAATCTTGATTTTTATATATGTAATATAAGTCACATGTTAGTATAACTATATAGTTATTATTAAAATTATACTATAATATTAGAACAGTATTGAACCAATAATAAAATCCTCTACATTGTTAGAGGCAGTTTAGTTCATGACACTGAGTGTGAACTATAACAAACAGTACTATCAGTTTAGTTCATGACACTGAATGTGAACTATAACAAACACCATTATCAGTTTAGTTCAAGACACTGTGTGAACTATAACAAACAGTACTATCAATTTAGTTCATAACATTGAGTGTGAACTATAACAAACAGTACTATCAGTTTAGTTCATGACACTGTGTGTGGACTATAACAAACAGCACTATCTATTCACTTCAAGACACTGTGTGTAAACTATAACAAACAGTACTATCAGTTTAATTCAATACACTGTGTGTGAACTATAACAAACAGTACTATCAGTTTAGTTCATGACACTGGGTGCGAACTATAACAAACAGCACTATCAGTTTAGTTCATGACACTGGGTGTGAACTATAACAAACAACACTATCTATTCAGTTCAAGACACTGTGTGTGAACTATAACAAACAACACTATTTATTCAGTTCATGACACTGAGTGTGAACTATAACAAACAGTACTATCAGTTTAGTTCATGACACTGAGTGTGAACTATAACAAACAACACTATCTATTCAGTTCAAGACACTGTGTGTGTGAACTATAACAAACAGCACTATTTATTCAGTTCATGACACTGAGTGTGAACTATAACAAACAGTACTATCAGTTTAGTTCATGACACTGAGTGTGAACTATAACAAACAGCATTATCAGTTTAGTTCAAGACACTGTGTGAACTATAACAAACAGTACTATCAATTTAGTTCATAACATTGAGTGTGAACTATAACAAACAATACTATCAGTTTAGTTCATAACACTGTATGTGAACTATAACAAACAGTATTATCAGTTTAATTCAAGACACTGTGTATGAACTATAACAAACAGTACTATCAGTTTAGTTTATGACACTGGGTGTGAACTATAACAAACAGCACTATCTATTCAGTTCAAGACACTGTGTGTAAACTATAACAAACAGTACTATCAGTTTAATTCAAGACACTGTGTGTGAACTATAACAAACAGTACTATCAGTTTAGTTCATGACACTGGGTGTGAACTATAATAAACAGTACTATCAGTTCAGTTCATGACACTGAGTGTGAACTATAACAAACAATACTATGAGTTAGTTCAAGACACTGTATAATTTATCAGGTCGTAATAACTCATAAGCAGTGTGTACTAGGTCGTAATAGCTCATAAGCAGAATTGATCAGGTCGTAATAACACACAATCAGACTTTATCAGGCCGTATAACTCATAAGCATAGTTTATGAGGTCGTAGTAACTTAAATAGAATTAATCAGGTCGTAATAACTCATAATCAGACTTTATCATGTCGTAATAACCTTTTCCAGGTTTATGTGTTGGGTGTTATAAACTGGTTGGTTATATAAGTTTCGTGTTTCTTCTTTTGTTTTATTATACAGAATTGTTTGACTATTTGAACATCTAGTTATTCAACATGCATGCATTAACTAGAAAGTTGGTATTAGAAATTACTCTCACGTATTCAAGAAGTTTTCACCATAATGCTTTGGTAGTTGATTATTTGACTGATTATTATTCAATTAAAATAACAAAACGTTTGAGTTACTTAGTTTATAAGTTAAGAAGGGAATACTTTATTATTACGTTTCCATTTAGGATGCTAAAGGAATTAATAGGACTTGAACAACATGCTTGTCTCGTCAAACGATCGAATTCTTCTCTAACGTTGGGAAAAGTCAACTTTACACGAGTCATCGATTATTTGCGTGTTCTCCATGAGTAATCCGCAACACGAGTCGTTTGATCTTTTAATTACTCCGTTGAAATTGGATTCTCAACTTTCGTTCCTTAAACAAAAGTAATGATTTGGACTCAGGAATAGCACAGGCCTGAAGTGTTCAGAAAGTATAGACTCAGTAATCTTCTTATAAAGAGAGAATAACTCCGTACCCGGATGAAACTCTACCGGTCAATCCGGAATAATGATTCGCTTTCGCACGTGATTCACTGTTTAAAAAAAAAAATAAGTTTTGAAATTTCTTTATTGGTAAGCCCTTTTACAATATACACACGTTTTGAAGTAACCATGATTAATTGTTTTTAAAGCCATTTAACTGAGAAATAAACATGTTGATGTGAAAAACATATTCACAGTTATAGCAAGTCGACATTCAGTTCTGTTTTACAACATGAACCAAGTTCTAGAGGTTGTTTTATGTCTTTTCTTGCTGTTGCTTTTTCTTTTCGCTAATCATTACCTTTCATGTACATCCAGAATACTTTGTTTGTGTTTTTGTTGTTGTTGTGTTCATTTGAAAGAATAACACAATAACAAAAACTTCTATAAGGTAGGGTTAAAGCTTAAATATAGCCTTCGTTTTTTTGTTATTGTTGTGTTTTTTATGTTTGCTGATTTTACTGTAAAAGGTAATCATCTTGCATCATGATATCTTTAAGGAGTATGAACCACATTGTATATCATGTCTAGTTGTCATAGTAACTGTTGAAAAAAAACAGAAGTGAAGAATATCCCCTTAAGATTAAACATAGACGCTAATGTTACCCTCTTTAGAAGTGAAGAATGTCTGTTTAAGATTAGACATAGACGCTAATGTTACCCTCTTTAGAAGTGAAGAATGTCTGTTTAACATTAAACATAGACGCCAATATTACCCTCTTTAGAAGTGAAGAATGTCCACTTTAGATTAGACATAGACGCTAATGTTACCCTCTTTAGAAGTGAAGAATGTCTGTTTAAGATTAGACATAGACGCTAATGTTACCCTCTTTAGAAGTGAAGAATGTCCAGTTTAGATTAGACATAGACGCTAATGTTACCCTCTTTAGAAGTGAAGAATGTCTATTTAAGATTAGACATAGACGCTAATGTTACCCTCTTTAGAAGTGAAGAATGTCTGTTTAAGATTAAACACAGACGCTTATGTTACCATCGTTAGTAGTGAAAAATCCTTTTAAGTTTAAGCTTTCCACCCAAGCTTATACATCTATAACCAATAATGTTGCAACTTTTAAAAGTGAGAAATAATATAAAACACTGTCGAAAATAAACAAGGATCCACTATTTTCATGTCCTTTAGGAATATGAAATACACTGCTGGAAATATAAACTGTTGCCATGGCCTTTATAAGTACGAAAAATGTTATTTTTATTATTATTACTATTCACTATTATTATGATCTTTAGTTGTACATGAAACTTTTACATACTAATTTGATGTCTTTAGAGTTGTATATAAAAAAAAAACTGTTGCAAAGGAACACAGCCGCCACTTTCATGCCTTTTAAAAGTAGTTAATACAGCGTTGATAATAACCATACATTGCCATGCTATTTACGAATATTAATTATCATGTTAAAAATGATTTGTTTGTAGTTAAGCACAAAGCTACACATGTGTTCTGCCCACCACGGGTATCGAAATCAGGTTTCTAGCGTTTTAAGTCCGCAGACATACCACGGGGGGGGGGGGTGCTGAAAATGAACAGTCTTCATCGCGGTGTTTTAATGAAGAGCAAAACATTCAGAATAAGCACATTCTCAATTCTCGTACTCTATATGAGCGGAAAGTAGGTTAATGAAAGAACAGAATGGCTAGTCATGTTCTTAAAATATTTTATATATACGAGATAAGTTTAATTAAGTATTCTATTGTAGGTCAAAATCAACAAAGCCGCCATTTCCATCCATTTGTAATTAGTAAAATAACTGTATGGTTATTGTAAAGTTTAAATTTAAGTGTAGTGTGAGTTTTAGTTGCTGTTTTTTTTTTCTCCGAATAAATTGATCAAACTAATTTCGTTTGAACTCATAAACTTAAGTGTGTTGCACGTGAAAACTTGAGAGGTAACAAACCCATTCAATAAATATAATATTCATTTGTACTGTCACCAAACTACAGAAAACTCATTTAAGAAGAAACAAGTGGAAAGGTATGTTAACCAGAATTAATAGAGATATATGCATTTATTTACCTGACGTCATCATATTTCCGCATGTAACCATGAAATATTTGTTTTGATTTATTTAAGGTGGGTCAGCGGTAAGTTTCCGGACTTACAACGGTAAAATCTAGGATTCGATTCCTCGTTGTGGACAGAGCTTATATATAACCAATTGTGTAGCTTTGCACTAAAATACCAGCAACCGCTGAGAACTATTTTGAATATTATTATGACTTAAATGTCCAGGGCATAATTTGAACAGTCATCTTGAATCGTCCAAAGTAAAAACATTATTTGATTTCGCCGATAAAACCCATTTGACGTATATAAAGGAGGGTTTTTTCTTCATATGTATATTATTATTTTTGCAGCATAGTGCTAAAATAGATAAATACATATCAATATTTAATGTAATACGGTTTGGATATTTCTCGTGCTTTGTAACTTATTGTTTAGTTTCTTGTCCGAGGAGGAGTTTTTGTTAAGTATACACAAAAATTTATAAAAAATCAGTAAAAAGAAACTTCATTTCTTTTACAGTATTTGACATTCTTCTGAAATACCATGAAACTAACGATTGGACACAGGCTCTTTTAACTGGAATCCCGCAAAGAAAAGGTTTTACTCCCAAATCTAACGTCAAGTCATCATCATCATCATCTCAAGGTACACCTCCTTTAGACGTAGAACCAACCCAAAATTCTTCCCCGCCAAAATTCCAGATTCTTTTGAAATAACTCCACTGATGATCTCATAGGATTGCATCTGAAGGTAAGCGAAAAGTTCCTACCTCAAAATAAAAGAACATATAATCATGTCTGGGTGAACTACTTTTAATTTCTTGCTTGTGCTATCATGTACTTTACACACGTACTTCTCATCTTATGAATGCAATGTATATTTATAGCTGGCATGTGATTCGCGAATTATATATATATATATATTTATCTATCCATTGTAGAAACGTTATCCATTGCATAATATTGTGTGGTAATCCGATTCACTCTGTACCTCTTAGACGACACATGAAGTAAGGTTATTCTTCTTCTAGACAACACGTGTGGTAATCGGATTCACCTTCTAGACGTCATATGAGTAATCTGATACAACTCGTAAATATCACATGTGGTTTCCTGACGTCGTATAAACTGATACACGTCTTAGTCTTAGACGTCACGTCTGGTAACTTTATTCATCCCATGGCCATGGAGTAACTGTTGATGTGTCGAACTGTGAATCGAAGGTGACTTAACCAAAAACAAACGATTAATCTCCTAGACGTCACAAATGTTAGCCTGATTCATCTCCTAGACGTCTGATACGTTGATATGCTTCATCTCCTAGACGTCTGATACGTTAATATGCTTCATCTCCTAGATGTCACGTGCAATCTTATACAGCTCGTAGATGTCTTATGTGGTTTTCTGATTCACCTAGGAGACGTTACTTGTGGTAAACTTCTGTTTATTTTTTCCGCGTAAATCTATATAAAGGGCTTTCTGCGCATGGCCGTTTTTAATTTTAAGCTGGTAGACAGAGGCGTCACTGGGTGCTTAAAAAATTCGGGGTTCGGGCCCATGGGCCCTGGAATTTTCGGTGTTTCGCTACGATATCGATCATAGATTTTTATTCTGATTCTTTAAGACTCCAACTGGGGACTAGGGGCTCCATCAAAAAGAATCACAGGCCAGTAATATCACAGATACATGACATAAGTAAATAGACATCCAAGTTTGGAAGAACGCCAATGTATTCCGGAACCGTACATACGACTGGTAAAATATGTGTGAGGCCACGGTTCAGCTCTTTGCCTTACGCAGGACGGTAACCGCTCTTATACATGGTATGAACAAGATTAGCAATAATCACTTGCGATGTTGTCGTCTATTCCTGGCATAGCACCTGTACTGGGGTTTGTTTGTAGTTAAGCACAAAGCTACACAAAGGGCTATCTGTGCTCTACCCACCACTGGTATCGAAACCCGCTTTCTAGCGTTGTAAGTCCCTAAACAAGGATCGCTCGAGGATAGCCCGCATGGCAGAGTTGTGATGCCTTGACTCTCCATCTTTTCATCTTAAGGGGTGCCTTTTTATTTACTTGTCAAGTCTCTATATATTTATGTGTTATTATGATACTTATATCGTTTAACACAGTTTTTACCTATTTTAATCTGACATTAAATTGCATCAGGCTAGTTTCACTTATAAGCACATCCTGAGCGTTTAACATATCTATGTGCGAATGAGCCTTTTTGAAAATTTGTTATTTTTGAAGGGATTTCAGTGCCGACGATAAATGTCTTTAATCATCTTCTCAACCACAAAATAATCGAAGTTATAAAAGTCATGCGTTTAGAAATACAATAAATTAAAGGAATTTTAATAAATATTTCTCTATGGACGATGGACTTGGAAGTTAAATTTTTGTGAAGAATCCAATAAAGATCGCATAACTTTCATATTCATCACTAATTTTTATAAAATTCACAACAGAGAATGAATAATAGACGCTGTTTATATATCAGCAGTTGCAAAAGTCATTTCCACTGTTTAGACGACTGTATCCAAGAAACCGATGGTCACAGTGTTCTGAAACTCACTTTTACTGTTTAGACGACTGTATCCAAGAAACCGAAGGACACAGTGTTCTGATACTGACTTCCACTGTTCAGACGACTGTATCCAAGAAACCGATGGACACAGTGTTCTGATACTGACTTCCACTGTTCAGACGACTGTATCCAAGAAACCGAAGGACACAGTGTTCTGATACTCACTTTTACTGTTTAGACGACTGTATCCAAGAAACCGAAGGACACAGTGTTCTGATACTCACTTTTACTGTTTAGACGACTGTATCCAAGAAACCGAAGGACACAGTGTTCTGA